GGGAGCCTGCTTCTCCCTCTGACCCTATCCCCTCTCATGCTGTTTCTCTCTCTCTCTCTCAAATAAATAAATAAATAAAATCTTTAAAAAAAAAAAAAAATACTGGATTATGATTCCAGAGACCTGGATCCTGACACTGGCTCTGTCACTCACTGGCCTTAGTCCTCAACTCCAACCTGCTTCCTGCCTCCCACCCATCCTTCCAGGCCCAGCAGCAACCTTGCCTCCAAAAACCTGCACCAAGTCTCCAGACAGAAGTGCTCAAACCCCCCCTTCTGAGTCTACTCTGTGACATGCAAACGTCTCTTCTTTCAGTTACTCTTCCCACATTTACTAAGGTCCTACTACTTCTAATCACACTGCAAGGCACCTATTTCATAATGGGGATCAGGAAAGACTTTGCCTTCAGTCTAGTGAAAAATTAGAAACTGTGATAAATGCTGTGAAGAAAAAGTATGGAGTCAGGAGAGCCCAGTATCTAAGGAATCTACTCTAGTTCAGCAGCAACCCAAAAAAGGAAGTATTCGTCTTTCAAAAGCTCAGAGCAAAGAAGACAAAGAGGCTGGTGTACAAAAATGTGAGCAAGTAACGAGAATTAAGCCTAGATGATGGGCCATATCAGGCCATGTTAAGACTTATGACATGGGACTAGCAACTGCCTGCTTATAGGTCTTCCCAACTACATTAGAAATTTATCCAGACGACAGAAGCTTGGCCACCTGCCTGAAGAGCAACTGGAATACCAGCACCCACTTCCCACATGTAGCTGATTGAGTGAGTCTCCCCTTCTACCCACACTGCACTGGGCTTTACTCAAAAACGAAGAGGAAAGTACTTTCCCATGTAGGTGATTTACTCAATGCTATGCCTACCAAAGTGGTAAGCCCAAGGCTGGTACTCAGTAAGTACTTGGTGAATAAATTAATAAAGGTTTAATTTAAAATCTCACAGCATGCCGGGCTGCCTGGGTGGCTCAGTCAGTTAAGCGTCTGCCTTCAGTTCAGGTCATGATCCCAGGGTCCTGGGATCGAGCCCCGTATCCAGCTCCCTGCTCAGCGGGGAGTCTGCTTCTTCTTCTCTCCCTCCCTCTGCCCCTCTCCCTCCCCCCCATACTTTTTCTCTCTAAAACAGATGAAAAAATCTTTAAAAAAAATAAAATCTCACAGCATGCAAAATTCCACGCCTTTTGTTTGATTAACTGACAATCAGATAGCAATATAAATACCTCCACAGAATCCATCAGACCTTGCAAGAGGAGTTTCTGGTGAGGAAAATCTCCATCCCCAACTGGAAAATATCCCAGTGTTTGGATTGCTCGTTCTTTCATCTAGAAAACCAGAGAATTTTGCTTTTTAAAAAAAACCAAAAAAAAACACAACAAAGTACGTAACAGCTTTATCCCAGAACAGTGTTTCCAAAATGAGATGACAGAGAGGGCAGTCTGTCTAAAGCACTTATGCATGCAAGTTTTTTTATAAAGTAGCCACAATTTTACAGAATTATGTGTATAAGACATTGGAGGTAGAAAGACATAAAACTGAGTTCATTAAGGGTCCATGGCTGCAAAAGAAGAAGAAAGCCTTTAACAAGGTTTATTATCCGTCACACTGTTTATAAATATAGATTCTGAGCCCAAAGGACTTAAGATCCAATCATAGCTTAACCATTTTAGCAGCCTTTACAGGTATGTGACCCTAGGCAAGTTACTGCACTCTCTGTGACTCCATTTCTTCATATGGGAAAAGAGAGATGACAAGTGCACCTACTTCACTAGACCTTCTGAAGAGTTCCATTAATTAACATGTATGAAGCCCTCAGCACACGCCTGGCACATCACAAGTGCTCAACAGTGGTTGGTGAGCACTAATTAGTTAATTAATAGCTAACAAAACTACACTGCGATATTCTCAGCAAGTTTTAAATGGTACCTAGACCAAGAATAAGACTGCTTATTAAACTGGTAGTAAACTGATTTATCTGCTCATTAAATCATGTTATATTTCAACACTGAGGTACTCTGATCACAAATGTTTTAAAGTTTATGAAAGTGTTTATCTAAAACTAAAAAATGATAAATGTCCTTCTCCTCAGATATTACTCACACTGCTTCCTAACATCCAGACTTCTTAAAACCATTTTCGCTGTCAAAAGTTAAGATTCAGATTTAGTCTAAAATTACAAAAGTGATAACAACTATTTAACACTTTATTACCCACTTTCGCATGACAGAAGAATTACCGGTGCAGCTAGTTCTTTACCCAAATCCTAACAGTTATGGGTCTAAACTGGAACAACTGGGCCAAACGGTGCACGCACAGAGGTCATACACAAATCACCCCTAACTCAAAACTAAATAGTCATCTAGACTTTATCATTCTTTTTTTACATTAAATCCTTCCTCCGGCTGCACTGTCATCTATCCTCATTACAACTGCGTTTTTGCTCACTTATGTATCTATGAATAGAAAGAATTTCAGAAGAAGGGGAAAAAAGGAGAGACTTGCCTTATTTGTTTCTTTACTGGAGGGTATTCTATTCAGTAAGCTTTCTACAAGATGTGATTTGGTGAAGCCAGATCCCTCACTGGGGATTGGGAGGGGACCATTCCTACCAATTTCCCCGAGGGCTGTGCAGGCAGCAATGGCCAGGAGGGGCGACGTACTGTCCAAAAACGAGCCTGGAAGCACATGAGCCGAGACTGAGAAGAAGACACTACTGCTCTTGGGGTTCGGGGCAAGCAGCAAGGGACTCAAGACTGTCTCAGAGACAGTAAAACAAAATCAAAGTCCACATTTTCTTCTAATTGGTGATTTGTTAACATTCAGTCAGTAATGAAACACCACGGGAACAAGGCAGACAGCACTGTCCTCTTAAAAATGTTTAAGGTTTTTCCCTGTAATGCAACCAACTCTGTCATACAGAAACACATAGGAAGAAACGTACAGAAAAATTAAAGTACTTTCATTGTTATTAAAAGCACAGAACTTATCCACCATCAAGCAAGTTTTGTGAAAAGCCTTGTGCCTTTAAGGTACGATGCTGTAAAAAGAAACTAAAATGCTGTAATAAATTTGAACCCAACTCAAGGCAGCACAAGCAGGTCAAGTACCTATTGTTTCCGTGGCGCTCTGAATGAGTTCCTCTTGTTCCGGCAGGAAATCGGCATCTGTCTCCAGGTCCTGCTGCTCTGCCATTCTCATTTTCTTTTTGGCCAAGTATCTTCCTACCGTGAATCCCAACGCAAGCAAGGATCCGTGCTGTATCTCTGGGCTCTGAACCACACAATAGCTCTGTCACTCTCTCTCACATGCAAGAATGCACTGAAATAACAGTATGCTTAGGAGAGTCATCTCTCCAATAAGACATAAGGCTACAAAGTGATCATTTGAGGTTCTACTGAATGCTAACGAACCTGGAGTTTCCAACACTCAAGAATTCTGAGAAGGTAAGCTGAGTCTTGATTCACTTCGAATAATTCCCTAACCCCACACCCACTCCAAGTCTGGGTGAAGTGACTCTCCTGCAGGCTCCCTGTAGCACCCATACTTTCTTCTAGCTTGGAGCACTTACGTAACTACACTACCATTAATTTTCAAGCATAATTTCTCCCTTCTGCCCTACTGCCAACAAAATACAATGAGCAGATACGATTTCTAATTGCTAAAACCTCTGAACACAAAGTAGAGGTTTGATTATTCGAAAGCACATGTTTCCTGATAGAACAGGCTCAATGACAGGTGGCTCTAGATGGGGAAAGAAAAAGGAACTAAGATTTCCGAGCACCTGGTAGTACGAGGGATCCTCGTGTAATCACTCCCCACTGTATTCCTAGCACCTAAAACAGCGCCAATTAGACACAAGGCACTCACAGTTGTTGAATGGACTGAATGAATCAATGTATTACCTATCTCAATTTTTCTTCACCATCATAAAAGTTCCTTTTAGAAATGAGAACACAAAAACTAAAAACATATCAGATGCTTTTAGAAAGCTCTCCCACCTCCCACAAAAAAGAACAAAGACAAAACTGATAACATACATGATTGTCTTTTGTGGTCTTTATAAGCTGTTCTATCATTGACTTCAACTCATTCCCCGACACTGTAGATACCACCACAGAATAAAACAATGCCGCCAGTTCACGCATCTCTTCTTTACTGCTATTCATCAGACTCTGAGTGGTGTAGAAAAACAAATATATACGTGATATACAATCATCTTCCTACTGACAACATCTGACATTTAAATTTGAAAGAATAAATGATACATTATATCGTTCAATCTATTGGTATCGGTAAGAAAATAACACAATAAACTACATCAAAATAAAAGCTGAATTATATACCAAAATCTTCTGCGCATTTTCATCAAAAATACAAGACATAAAACAGACAGAATTAATACACAGATGATCTGAAACAGAGGTCAACAAATACTTTCTGTAAAGGGCGAACGAGGCTTTGTAGGCCACCTGGTCTATGCGGCAACAGCTCCATTCTTCCACTGTAGGGCAAGAGTAGCCGCAGACAATGGAGAAATGAAGGGGTATCTGTGTTCCAATAAAACTTTATGGACACTATAATTCTCATGTCAGAAAATACTACTCATCTTTTGATTTTTTTTCAACCATTTAAGAACGTGAAAACCACTCTTAGCTTGCAGGCCAAACAAGAAGGAGGCAAGGCAGATTTGGTACATGGACCATACATAGTTTGATGACCCCTGATCTACACGATCAAAAGTCAAAAACTGCGATCATTTTACAATCAGCAAATATTCACAAGGAATAAAAAATCCTTTTTAAATTTGAAGCAATTTCATGAGGTCAGTTTTTCCAGAAAAGCACAAAACTTACACTTCTTGGTATACTACATTCATGCTTTCACCCTAAGAGAGAATCTGCAAATTTTACCATAATTCAAGCTCCAATTTCCAAAAAGAACTGCATTATACAGCCCAAGAGGTATATGAAACTGTATGAGCCATACCTGTACTAAAAAGAACTTTTCGTTGTTTATGTGAAATTCAAATTTAACTGCGAATCTTGTATTTTTTTTTTTTTTTAAAGATTTTCATTTATTTATTTGACAGAGAGAGAGACAGCGAGAGAGGGGAACAAAGCAGGGGGAGCGGGAGAGGGAGAAGCAGGCTTCCCGC